AAAAAAAAGTTTATGTTTGGTTCAAGAATCTATTTACATTCTTAAGTTGAGATATCTGCTAAATGTAAAATAAGCATCTGTATTATTATTATTCCCCTATCCCTGTCAAGAATTTATATAATAAAATACTGCTAAATCAGACTGTCCTTTAATAACATACCAAAAAATATTAAATCCAAATGTCAAACAGTTCTGTTCTTGGGGTCCTACCCTCTGTGTTCTAATCGAAACAGCTCAAAATATTCATCTAAGGTCACTTTGACATTTCTCAAACGAAATAAGCTTTTTTCAGACACACAACTTAATGTATAATACAACCAAATGCACCACTCCAAAACAAAACTAAAAACAATTGGGCAAAAACTAAAATCCAAGCCAAATAAATCTCAAATCAAAACAAGCAATTAAGTCATGAACAGAACTATTGGATAACTCAACTTTAAAGCAAGGAACCTTGAATAGTTAAGGACAAATTAATAGGCGACGAAAATCCTTGGTATATTTTTATTAATTCATATGTTGGTTGAAATGTAAATACATTATAAGTGTGTCTGTATTTGTGTGCATGAAACTAAGTTCAGTTCCCTATATAAGTTTCACAAGGCCATATGCTCATACAATATATTAGAGTTTAATAAAGCTTCTGCTCCAATTGACTTTTGCATGCAAACAACACAAAAAGACACATATGCTTACCAAATACTCTGCCATTGTTGAAAACAACACTGATTTTAAAATGAAGCTTACGAATTAGTACAATAACAAGCTTACAAGAAGAAGATGATCCACACTTAGTTGGGTCTATTAATATTTTAAAGTTTTACATAATCCAAGTTAAGGGTCCAATAAATTTCTCAAATGCGGACACATTCCATGCTGAAAAATTTGGATTATCCACATGTTGAAATTAATGATGACAATTGTTTCAATTTGAAATTTAGGTAAGAATTTCATACAACCTGCAAGCGCCAAAAGTGGATTAAACAAAAATATATTTTTGAATCAAGTTGGAGATTAGGTTGAGTTGAATATGACATAATTCAAATTTAACAGAACTAATTCTCTTGTTCACATGACAAATTCAAACGAAATCCAAAGTTCAAGAGATCCTCACAAACAACAATAATAGAATAAAATACAAAATATTTTTTAGTGCTGAATTAAGTCATTCAAGTAGCGAGCAAGAAGCTCTGTTTTTTGGAACAAAGATGATTTCCAATGTTGTGATGTTCACCGTCTCGACCACGCTATCTTATTTCTATGTTGTGTTCTTACACATACCAAAGTGTAGACCACTTAATTATTATTAGCACTAAATGTGACATACATTGTGCACGATATTTCACACCCCACTTACCACGCTGTCTATTTCTTTACACACACAACATATCTTGGAGACAAAATCAGTCTACCATTCATTAAATACTCCTTTTGTTCTTTCGAAATTGTTATAGATTAGGAAAATAATGAAACAATAACCACTCAATATAACCATTTTGGTTAATAATAATTAAACACTTATATACTCTCCTTAATTTTCCCATAATTCAGAATCGCTGAGAGATCGACACGTGTCTGCGCCTGACTTGTGGGGACACGATCGATACGAGTCCGCCAAGTGGCGGCCTCATCTTCGACCGATAGATCATCTCATCGTACAGCCTTCGGTAGAAGTTGACGAACGGGACAAACGACTCTCGAGATTTGTCGACTCGACTTTGTTGGTGGTGGTAGTGATGATTATTATCTCTCTTGAAAAACAACGCCGGCGATTGAAGAAACGATGCCTTGGGAGTCCTCGGGTACTGTCGGATCATCGACGGGTCGAGCTTTTGGGTCCTTTGCGGCATCGGTGTGGACGGGAAGAAGTTCTTCCGAATGGCCGGGTCGATCGATCTAATCGCGCCACGTGGCGACGCGAACGAGTGGGACCGCGCGTTGTGGGGCGAGATGGCGGCCGATGACGGGGGGTTTGTGGGGCCCACCTTGGAATTGGATGCTGATGATGTGGAGAGGTACCAAGGCTTGAGGGAGTCGACGTGGTGGGTTGACACCGTGAACGAGAATCTCGAAGACGAGCAGCTGCCGCCTCCGACTTTGGCCGTGGAGTCGAAGCGCATCGAGACGGCTCGTGGGTACAGTGCGAAATCGTTGTTGTTGTTGTACTCGAGCGAGTCTTCGTAGTCGAGAGACGATACAATCGAGGTCAGAGGCGAGAGCTCGACAAACGGCTTCACTCCCTGAAATCACAAGAATTGCGAAAAAAAAAACCGATTATTGAGTCACTCTCTAATGAGATGGAAATGACTACAATCCCGTCACAGAATGATTCTGTTAGTGTGTTTAATCATAGATTATCTACTCTACACTGATTCTGTTAATGTATTTTAATCATGTATTATCTTCTCTACACTGATCTACATGTGATAATAACAACTGAATTATTTCGTGACGGAACTGTAGGGATTCCCAAATCATATATACTCAATTGGAAAAATAGTTAGGAGGAAGAATGAAATTTGTTTAATGTTATGTGACCTTCCAAAGATAAGTAAATAGAGAAGGCGGGTCAATGACAAAGGCTCTATGAAGGCGAGCCGGATAGTAATCAGCTATGATCTTCAGTGTAGTCAGCAGCATGTTCATAAAAGCTGAAGCTGATCTGAAAAAGCCTGCACAATTTCAGCACATTAATTAGTCAACAAGAACTTAACCAAAAAACGAGAATATTTAATTATATACTCATATTTCTCAAATTATGAAAAAGGAAAAGGAAATAAAGTCGAGAAAATGAAAAATTCAAATCACTGTTTGGCCAGTCTGACAAAAGGGAAAATAAAAAAGGAGAATTATGGGGGGTACTTTTGCATATAACATTAACGACATCGTTCAGCTAGGATGAGTTTCCTAATATACCCCTGTAGATCCGTACGTCTGACCGCGACACCTCAAGGGCAGTGTAGGCAATTTCTGGAAAAGTTTCGGACAGCCCATCTGTCTGCTTCCCGACAAACTTGGTGCTGATTGTGCTATCTTTCTTGTTTAATTTTTTTTTAATTGCTCATTAAGTGCGCAATTAGGCGTGGCTTTGGAAGTTAAATATGGCTATTATGGGTTTTAACAAAAGATGTGATTTTGAAGGTTTTTATCAGAACTGATTTGAAGTTTTTGACGTGGAATCCCTATGAAATGGGAATTGTACAATGAATTCCTGCTCCCAACTGAGATAAAAGCTGAGTTCGGATTTTGTTTCTCAGAGTATATATACTACTACTACTAAATAATTGACAATTTCAAATATTTATTTAAAATTTTAAACCATATTTTAGAAAAAAATATAATAGTTAATATGTAAGGTTAACTATTCTTCAATAATCTGGTGCCTCTCGAGGGTACATTCAAGTAAATACTTTCATGGGTTCTAGCAGTTATTATTTTTGTAATTTAGACTAATTAATAAAGGTAATTTTATAATTAACTGAAAAAAAAAATAAAGCAACAGCAAAAGGGTAAAATAACTAATACTTACTGGCGTCAAAGAGGAGAACAAATTGCTCAACATTTTTGGCCATTGTTTGAACAGCCACTTCTAGAGTGAACACAAGCAACCTAGTAAACCTACAAAATTGCACCAAGCAGAACAATTAAAAGTTGTTATTTAGGCGAAAATAGAAATAAATAGTTGTACGCCAAGAAAGGGAAAAGACAATTAGGCCCACTAACAGTTACCACAAGTAGATAAAATTATGTGCTTACAGTTTTTGAGAATGGAATTTATGGTAATCTTGCTTGATTCGGAATATCTGCAATTTGAGCGGCCAATTTAAGAGCACACACAAGAAATGAATCAATTAATTTTTTATAGTTTACTTCAAAATTTAATATTTCTTCATTTAATTAAAAAAAAAAAGGACAGTAATGTGAAATTACCATGACAGGCCTTGATTCATCATCATGACCAGCAACATAAGCAAGTCCTTCGGCGAGCTCAGCAGAAAATTCATCAGCTATCAGAGTATCTTCAGTTTCAAATAATATTCAACATCAAAATCAGTGAAAATATATTTATAGAA